CCCCAAACCCCACATCCGAAATCCTAAGCCTTAAACCCCGAAAGGCTCAAAACAGAAGACCCGAAGCAAGGTCCTGGGCTGCATATGACCTGAAACCCTGAACCCTAAACCCTGAACCCTGAACCCTGAACCCTAAACCCGAAGCCCTATATACCCTAAACCCCGATCAACAAAAGCCAAAGCAAGGTCCTGGGCTGCATCTTCGGGGTCCCCGGCGATGTCTGCACTCTGGCAGCGGCGCTGTCCGTGAAGTCGCCCTTCGCGGCCCCGCGGCCGGTTTGAGTGTAGGGTTTAGGGTTTTAGTTTTAGGGTCTAGGGTCTAGGGTCTGGTCTAGGGTCTAGGGTTCAGGGTCTAGGGTCTAGGGTCGAGGGTCTAGGGTCGAGGGTCTAGGGTCTAGCGGTTTTGTAGCCACACGGGGCCCTATAACTTCCTCGGGCCTCCCAAGGTGCAAGGTTCCGGCTTAGTCTTAGGGTTTAGGGTTTAGGGTTTAGGGTTTAGGGTTTAGGGTTTAGGGTTTAGGGTTTAGGGTTTAGGGTTTAGGGTTTAGGGTTTAGGGTTTAGGGTTTAGGGTTTAGGGTTTAGGGTTTAGGGTTTAGGGTTAGGTTTAGGGTTTAGGGTTTAGGGTTTAGGGTTTAGGGTTTAGGGTTTAGGGTTTAGGGTTTAGGGTTTAGGGTTTAGGGTTTAGGGTTTAGGGTTTAGGGGAGGGGGGGGGGGTTCAAGGGGGTAAGTACAGTAATAATTGGTTAGTCAGTACCATGAACCTCCAAGTGGCGTCTAGGAATTTAGTGACCTGCCGGTTCCCTCCAGACCATCAAATTTCTAGGGTTGAGGGTTCAGGGTTTAGGGCTTAGGGCTTGGGGGGTAGGGTTTAGGGCGGGTATACAGGCCTTCTTATAGGGCCATTCATAGGGCTTACAATCGGGCCGCAAGAAAAAAGTCGCGATACCTCTCCGCAGGTCACGGCCACTGGCAAAGGCAGCGGAAAGGGTGCCACCGAACAGCGGAAGGCCTCGCCGCCGTTACGGGTGCAAAAGGCTCCTTATAAATCCTAAATCCCTAAACCCTAAATCCCTAAGCCTAAATCCCTAAATCCCTTAATCCCTTAATCCCTTAATCCCTAAATCCCTAAACCCTAAACCCTTAACCCTTAATCTAAACAATGGCATGCCCTAAGGGAGTAGCGGGCTTAGGTTCTAGGCTTTCCTTCACCCTAAAGCTGTAAAAGCCCCCAGCCCTAAGCCCGAATCCCTAGCTCATGAGTCCCGAAACCCGGGTTGCTAAATCCGTGACACCGTTACGGTCTAGGGTTTCGGGTTTCGGGTTTAGGGTTTAGGGTTTAGTGCTGTCCCGAAACCCGGAACCTGTTCCTGCGCCAATGGGTACATGCAAGTAGGGTTAAAAGTATCCTGAATAGGGTGATGAGTATATCCATCATGATTATAACCCTACCTCTGTTTAGCCATGAAGCTGCAAGCGCAACCCTTGTACCCCTAAACCCTATCAGTCTCTTAAGGTCAGAACCCGATCCCGAAAAGCAGAATCCTGGACCCTGATAAGCTCTGAAACCCAGAAAAAACATAAGCCCCGACACTAAAACCTCAAGCTCGCAATCCAAACCCCAAAACCCAAAAACTTTAAACCCGAAACCCGAAACCCTAAACCCTAAACCCCAAACCCCAAACCCCAAACCCTAAACCCTCAACCCTAACTCTGAACCCAGGGGGAGTAGGGGAACCCCTGAAGATGGAGCTCGCGGGCGACCTTGAGAGTGACCAGCTGGTCCTCGTGCCACTCGCCTGGCAAAAAGATGCCCTGTTTTTTTTGCTTTCCGTGTTTAAGGGTTTAGGGTTTATGGTCTAGGGTTCAGGGTTTGAAGTTCAGGGTTTAGGCTTTTCCGGTTGAGGGTTCCTGGTTTAGGGTTTGAAGTTTAGGGTTTGAAGTTTAGGGTTTCGGATTTTGGGTTTTAGAGATTAGGGTCTGAAGTTTGGGGTTTTCGGGTTGAGGGTTTAGGGTTTGAAATTTAGGGTTGAGGGTTTTAGGGTTTAGGGCTTAGGGCTTAGGGCCCAGGGTTTAGGGTTTAGGGTTTGAAGCTCAGGGTTTAGGGTTTGAAGTTCAGGGCTTTAAATAGGGTTTCAGGGTTTTAGGGTTGAGGGTTGAGTGCTTTGAAGTTTTGGGTTTAGGGCTTAAGGTTAGGGTAGTTTGGGGTTTGGTCTAAGGGTTAAATCCTAAGTTCGGCCCTGAACCTGAAAGCCCTTGATGCCAAGTGCTGTGCGATTTTTCTAAAGGTGGCAGTTGTGCTCATGAGCGAAATTATAGTACTTGTAGCCTACGTTATGGCCCTCGTGAAACCCTAGAGCCTAAACCCTAAACCCTTAAACCCCAAACCCTAAACCCTAAACCCTACACCCTAAACCCTAAACCCTAAACCCCAAACCCTAAACCCCAAACCCTAAACCCTAAACCCTAAACCCCTCAAGGAAGCTCTTCGAGCACTGGGAGCACCTGGGAAAGCGCACGCCTGCTGCCCGTGCCTGGTGCCGAGAGAACGGCGCCTCGGCCCGCACGCCCCTTCGGGTTCTGTAGGATGGTTTAGGGTTTAGGGTTTAGGGTTTAGGGTTTAGGGTTTAGGGTTTCGGGTTTTGGGTTTTGGGTTTAGGGTTTAGGGTTTAGGGTTCAGGGTTCAGGGTTCAGGGTCAGGGTTCGGGGTTCACAGGGTTTAGAATGCAGGATTTACAAGCCCCCGGTGTAGGACCTTATGGTTCAGGATTTCGGTGAAGGACTTAAACCCTACACCCTAAACCCCAAACCCTAACCCTGCTTGGGGTCCCGACAGCTTGCATTCTTGGTTTTGAGGGACCCTAAACTGCAACCCTGAGGCCCAAGTGTATTCCTCTAGTCCCAACCCTGTCCTAAACCCTAAACCCTAAACCCTAAACCCTAAACCCTCCAAAAGCTGCCACCGAGGAGCGAGGGCATACGGGTTGGGGTCTAGGTCTCTCAACACCGTGTCCTAATCAGGGTTTAGGTTTAGGCTTTAGGTTTCAGGCCTTCGGCTTCAGGGTTTTTGGTTAAGGTTCAATCGAAGGATCTAAAAACTCCTCAAAGAAGCCCCAAAAGAGCCCCGATTTGTTTGCTAGGCTTCCATAGAACCCACCGGAGTGCTTTAGTACACGAAGAACGCTTCCTGAACCCTAAACCTTAAACCCTAACAAACCGAAACCCTAAACCCTAATCTTCCTGGGACCGAGATGGGGTGCTGGGACCCATTAGGGACAATGAAAGCCCGTCGACAGGACCCCACCAGGGCCCCTAGCTTGGAACAGGCCCCTCTCCTCTTGTCGGTGGCTTTGATTTTGGTTTCGGGTTCGGGTTTAGGGCTTAGGGCTTAGGGCTTAGGGCTTAGGGCTTAGGGCTTAGGGCTTAGGGCTTAGGGCTTAGGGCTCAGGGCTCAGGGCTCAGGGTTCAGGGTTTAGGGTTTAGGCTTCCCTCAAGAACCCGTCCAGGATTGGATTTGCAAGCGTTCGAGTCTGCCGCTCGGCATAGCTGGGAGTCGCCAAAACACGCTTCTGCGACCGTCATTGCATGTGGGGGTTTAGGGTTCAGGGTTTAGGTTTTAGGGTTTCCAAAAAAAGTACATTTTTGGTAACAGCGCCTGGTGTGAGACGTGTGTTTGTTGCAGGAACCAGGAATGTGCTAAAACCCAGGGAAAACGCATATTCATGCGTGAGAATTCTGCATCATAGGGGCCGAAAGTGTGTAACAGTGTCTATTTCTAAGGGACAATGCCGCTCCCGCGTAAGGAAAAACCACTTTTTCGAGCGCTGTGTTTTGCAAACTTCGTTCAGCTGCACTTGTTTTCAGCTTTGCACAGCTTTGCAAGAGCTCCGATAGTACTGTTAGTACCATTATTCCTATTATTACCATTATTCTATTGTCATTATTACAGTTTTACTATTAATACTATTTCTACTACTATTTCTATGATTGCTATCGTTAATACTATGACTATTGCTACTACTACTGGTTACTACTGCTATTATTTTTGCTATTTAGTTGCGACGGGACTCTTTCCGGGGATGGTTGTCGGGAAACCCATCATCAGCTGAATGCAGGCCTTAGTCTTGAGTCTTGAAGATGCGAGTGATGTTGCTGCCATTGGCCGCACCACAGGACGCAAGGACCCCAGGTATAGCTTCGTGCTGATGGGTTTGACCGACATGGTGGAGGGGCGCGGCTCGAGCTGCTTTGGAGCCGTTGGGTCCGAGGGTGCGGGTGTGTTGCACCTCAGAGGTGCCATGCACGCCGAGTGCCATCAGGTGACCAAGGCAGGCATGCTGAAGCTGCGGTCGGACCAGCTTCAGGAGCACTTGCTGCCGCTTGATCTGATAGACAGCATTTTTGCTCCATTTGAATGCTAATCGTAAGCATGAAAACAGCATGGCCCGTCAATCCGCGCTTTGCCCCAGCATCAAGGTCCATCCAATCGGCCCCAGCGTTCTTCAAGGAGACGTACGACACGTCGAAGAAGTACTCATGGGCAGTTGCTGGGTTCGATTGCGTGCGCAGCTCCTTCTATCCGGATGGCTACCGCGCAGAGCAGGCCAGCATGGAGAAGGAAGACCATGCCTGGATTTTTTCTTGGAAGCTTAAGGTCTATAAGCGTGTTGGACAAGAAAGTTCTCCGTAGTAGTTAGTTACAGTTAGTTGGGGCGTTGGCATGCCAAGGCTTCGTGTTCCAAGATGACTTGTTGGAGATGAAGGTTCAGGAGCTTTTGACGTCGATTCCGGCAAGGCAGCTCCTCCCGAAGAAATCCAAGTTGCATCTTGGACATTTGCAATGTACAACAGCAGTCATTGTGTGAACTCTGTGCTACGGCAATATGATACCAGGAAGATGAACCCAAACTGTTCCCAGCAAGGTAAGCGCTGGAAAATGGCCAGCCGGCAGACAATCAGTGTGAGGCAGTCGCTGGACATCTTGCGCAGTCAGAGCACCGTCCTTGGCCACTGCGTGTGTGAAGGAGCCACGAAACACCTTGATGACCGTCCATCCAGGGCTGAACAGCGGGTTGGCAAACAGCAAGATCTTGTAAACCAGCGTGTCGGCTTTCACCTCCAGCGCACGCAGCAAGAAAGGCGCACTAAGAAGCAGCACTTGGTTTGGTGGAGCCGGCTCCGATATGATGCGCTGTCGAGTTGCTTTGACATTCACCGCGTTGCTGCGTTATATATGATCAGCAGCCAAAGAATGCCTGGGGCAAAAAGTCATGGGAGACAACCAGGTCTGACAAGCACATTGCACGCGCAGGTTTCAAACGAGGCACCGCGGGCACATCATCCTTCGTCACCCAGTCGCGGAACAGAAAGGCTGCCAAGTTGAGCAGCTGCGCCCCGGCCACGCAATGCTTCACCGCCTGCGCAAACAGGAAGCTACTAAGAGACCCTAAACTTTCTTCTATTATATGCAACTGTTCTTGACAATTGCGCATTAAACAATTCTAAAGTGTCCCTTTCCACACCGAAGGCTTGCAGGCCCTGGCACCCAGCCCTCACTTACATTGCAGACATGATCCTCAAGTCTGAGGCACTGCCTGTAGCGTCTCCCTGCAAATGGCCGGCCATGTGTGCGGCTGGGTGACGTTCTTCTGGACGACAAGCTTCCTGCAATGGTGCTTGCTAAAGCTTCTTGACAGATCACAATTGAAACTTTGCCACCAACCAAGACGAATAATGATAATGACATTGCCAGTCATATCGCAAGCTGTTTGGCCCCACATGCATCGAATCAATGCTGCGTCGAAGAAAATTAAATTGGCCCAGAAACGCGAGACCTTCTTCTGCTGAAAGTGCTGGCCGGCCCAGCATGCCTGTCACGTTTGCGGCTCACACTCTAAACCGCTAACACTGCTACCATGCCCTCACTTACATTACAGACATGGTCCTCAAATCGATGTACCTGCAGAAAATTACGAACGTGCGAGTTTGAGGGCATCCACTCGCCTTGATGGAGGCTTTCGTGCTAGGGGTTTAAGGTTTATTATAAGGCTGAAGATTTCCCAAACCGTCAACCCTCCACCCTAAACCGTCAGGAACCCTCGGAAACCCTGCGCATGGGCATCTAGCTCGACCCTACTTCAGGAAAGTAGCAAGAGCTGGGGGTGGTCCAGGGTGATCTTCACTCCACAAGTCCGTGATCACTTTGCAACACTCCTTGTCGTAGCGCTCCCTCCAAACGCTGTTCTCGAGAAGTTCCCGGTTCCTGCGTACGTGTTAGGGCTCAATCTAAGATCAAAAACTTTATAACTCAAAAGACCTATAATAACCCTAATCCCGGAGCCTTAAACCTTAATTCGGGTTTTTTGGGCTCAAGGGTGCACAGCTCCTCTCTTCAAGAGACCTGTAGCCGCCTTCTGCCGCTTCCTTAACTGCGGTCGGAAGCTGTCGAGGAGCATGGCGATGGCCCAAGCCGAGAAAGCCATGAAGACTTCAGCAAAGCTGATCACGTCCTGGCACTAAAGGCCGGCTCGAGTCGGGCATCACTGTCAGCGGCCAAGTTGCCCAGGAAGGGTCGTCCTGAGCGGCTTGTCCTTTTATTCACATAGCTTAACTTGCATTATGCAGAAGTACATACTCCGGGACGAGGGGCCCCGAAGACTTTAAGCTCGCACCCGCGCCCAACACCGTTCATCGTGTAGGGCTGGAGGATCACGTGCGCGTGTCCCTTCTCCAGCGTGAACTGCTGAAGCAGCTCGACGACCGCGCAGGAGAGCTTAGTTGTGGTCATTATTTTTCAAACTCTAGAAAACCAAGCCTAACGACCAAGCCTTGTCATGCCTACTCTTAAAGTAGACACACATGGTCAATTTGCTTCATCAAAGATTGAATGGCCGCACCCAGATTAGCGCTCTTCATAGTCAAGGAAGCCCGCATTGACAGCCTTCCGTCCAAGAAGACAGCTGCAAGAGCCAGCGTGTCAGTAAGCAAGAACCGGTTCGTGTCCTTGTTATGCTTTATGACAGTCTCGCCCTGCGTCTGTTTTCCCTTGTTGACGTTGCGCTTCGTGGATTTCTTGTCTGCCAGGAACCGTTTCCGCTTGCGCACACCCCCAGTCTGCTTGAAGTACTCGACTGGTGTGGCTGGCTGCCAGGCAGAAGTTGTCTTGCTTCTTCTGTGACGTCCAAACACTTCCGGAGCCAGGAGTCCAAGACCTGGGTGGTCTCTCAGCATGGGCCACACTGCGTTAAGAAACTACTCAGTCCTGTATGAGACGGTCAGCAGGGGGGTTTAGGGTTTAAGGTTTAGGATTTAGGGGTTAGGGTTTAGGGTTATTGTGTCATGGGAAACTGAGGCTCGATGACATCCCCTTTGAGGCCGCTCGTCTCATGCCCCTTCATGTGCTGGCCACGTTGCGTCGGCTGGAAGTGGGCCGGGACGATGATAGGGCATTTGGAACGGGACAAATGCCCGGGTATTTCGAGCTTGGACTGCTGGAAAGGCCCAAGTGCTGGCAGACGCGCAGGGCCATCTGGAGGAACATCGTCGGGCTCTTGAAGCGCACCATGCAGACACAAAAGCTCTTGCCAAGCTGCAGCGGACTTTGAAGCCTGCCGCGGTATCTTGGGATGCGTGCCAGCTTTGGTGACGCTTGGCCTTAGCCTCGTTGCAACTTCGGTGGCCTATGTCTGAGCTCAATACCCTCGCGCGAAGACAAAAGCAGCCAAGGAATTTTGCTTTCCAGAAGAGAAGTAGCTCGGCCGATATTGTTGAGCAGCTTGTGGTGGCCATGCGTGCTTCGGCTGGGGAGGAAAAGACAACCTCAAACTAAAGCCCCGCTTCCATCCCCCCCCTGCCCCGCACCCCCCCCCCCACTTCATCTGGACCCAAATGAACCACTCAACCTTGCCTTCAAGTCGGAAGCCCTACGAACCCGAATCAAACCCTGCAAGCCCAGGACTGTGGGCGGCTTCCACACGTTCAAGGTGCTTCAACATATTCAAGAAACTCTCAGCTGTACAGACTTGGCCAGCTAGCTGCCCGCAACGTGGGCATGGTAGGGACAATTGAAGCTGCTTGGCTCCTGAGGCCTTGCGCGGCAGTGTCACCTGACACGGCAAGACGTTCAGACTCAAAAAGCAACAGCCTGCAAGCCCAGTCCTATTCCCAGTACTGTTCGGCCTGAAGCCCTAAACCCTGAGCAATCTCTCGAACTGGCCTGATGCCAGAAACCTTCAGCCATAAACCTCTCAGCCTTGCACCTGAAACCACAAAGCCTTCCGCTGATGCTGCAGCTGAGGCCTTTGGGGGGGGTGGGGGGGGCTTTGTGGCAACTATTCTACTTTAGGCCCATACTATTAAAATTTGTCGCAATGGCCTCAGCCCAGCCACCCCCCCGCCCGCCTGCTCCCCAGAAAGCAAGAGAACGTGCCCGTCACGCACTAGGCGCTGTCACCACATTTTTGCGGGGGGTCCCTTTTCAGGGGGTCCCTTTTTTGGGGATTCTACCCTATTTGGGGTAGAAAAGGTACCCCTATTCTTGGAAATACTCGTAGAGCGAGAGGGAGAGAAGAGAATGGAGGTTCCTGTCAGGTGCACCCTTCATTGACCGTGCCCCCCCCCCCTCACCCACTAAGGACTTAGTCCCCAATCCCTAAACAAACTTAAACCCTAAGCCCGACAAACCCTAAATCATAAACCCTAGTTGAACCCCGACCCTATAAACCCAAAATCCTAAACCCTAAACCCCAAACACACCCTAAACCCTCAACCCTAAACCCTATACCCCAAACCCCTGAACCCTAAACCCTAAACCCTAAACCTTCAACCCTAAACCCTAAACCTAAACCCTGAACCCCTGAACCCCTGAACCCCAGGTATCCGACATGCGGCGGCACCTCCTTGGGATCCTCGTTGAGCAAGGCCTCCGCAGCCTTGCATTGAGGGGACGGGGGGCGGGGGGGGGGGGGGGGGGGGGGGGGGGGGTTAGGGTTTAGGGTTTCGGGTTTAGGCTCTAGGGTTTAGGGTTTAGGGTTTAGGGTTTGCTGGGATAGGGCGTAGATGCTGTGAAGGTTAGGTTTCGGAACAAGCATCGAAAACCTCGTGAGGTGCGAAGAGCAGCTTTGGCCCGATGGTGGAGGGCCATCTAATACTTTTCTCCCACCCCACACCGTCCAAGGCGGCAAAGACACCAAACCTATTCCTTTCAGGGTTTAGGCCTAAACTCAGACAACAGTCCACTTGTAAAAACTTATTCAGTTTCACGACGTTGGTTGGGTCCGAGAGTCAACGGAATGGGGGGTTGGCAGTTTCGGGGAAAGAACTCCAAAAACGCAGTTTTTTTGAGCTACTGCCCTGCCTGAGCCGGCCTGAGGCCCCCTGGTCCCTGAACACGCTGCGGCGAGGGGTTCGAAACTGCCAGCCCCATCCAGTGTGAAGGGCGACCAGTGCTGGTCTCGGGGAGAACCTGCTCCGGTACCGGGCACATCGTGGGTGCTACCGACCTCCGAGCTGCAGGGCGGGCAAGCGACCTGGGCCGACTTTTGCCATAGAGGTCGAAGGTTACGCACCTCTAGGGGGAGGGTTTAGGGTTTAGGGGTTAGGGTTAGGGGTTTAGGGTTTCATGGTTTCAGGCTTCATGGTTTGGAGTGTTAGGGTTTGAGTTTCAGGGCTTAAGGTGTAGGGGTTCTCGGGCGGGTCATGGATACTTTAAGGCCCTGGACCCTGTGGGGTTTCAGGGTTTCAGGGTTTCAGGGCTTTAGGGTTTTCAGGGTTTCAGGATTTTAGGGTTTTCGGGCTGTAGGATTTTGTATTTTAGGATTTTAGGGTTTCAGGGTTTCAGGGTTTTAGGGTTTAGGGTTTTAGGCTTTTAGGATTTTAGGGTTTCAGGGTTTTAGGGTTTTAGGTTTTAGGGTGTTGGGGTTTTAGGGTTTTAGGGTTTTAGGGTTTTAGGGTTTTAGGGGTTTAGGGGTTTTAAGGTTTAGGGTTCAGGGGTTAAGCCGATAACCCTCCCCCCCTCCCCGTAAACCCCTTCAACCCCGGCCCGACCTGAAGGCTCTAATGTAGTTCTTTGTTGGTTTAGCAGTTCTTTTTTGGTTTAGCTAGAGAGGGTTCTAGTATACAGACTACCCCAAGAAGGTGCTACATAGGAGCCTCTAGGCAATGCCCCTAAAGCCCCTCAAAATCCCTGACACAATTACTCAAGGCCCTGGGCCTAAACCCTAAACCCTAAGCCCAAGCTATCCTCAACTCGAAAGCCATTTGGGGGTTTATGAAAATGGGGGGACCCCCGAAAAGAATTGTAGGGTTCCCTTATAGTAAGGACCTGAAGAAGGTACCCCTAATTTCGGAAACCACCATGTGTGCAAGCCCTATCAACCCCAAATCTCACCAAAAACAAAAACCTCTAGCCCGCTAAAGCAAGTGCGTAAAACCCTTCATGGGTAGTTCTCTAAATTAGCGTCATTTTTTCTTGTCGGGCCCCCTACAAAGTACGGCACCTTATAAGAAAGACCCCTTACAGTAAAGGGACCCTAGTCCGAGAACTACCAAGGACCCCCACCCCCCAAGCCCACCCCTCTTTAGGGTTTAGGGTTTAGGGTTTAGGGTTTAGGGTTTAGGGTTCCTTCAGAGGCTTCAGCCGCCCCGAGACGGAGGAAGCTCCGAAA